GAGAAAATTCTTATGTTGATAAGATTTCAGAACCAAGTAAAGAAATTAATTTATTAATGTATTGATTGTTAGTGAATAGTGTGCGATTTGATCTTAGTTTGAGCGGGGTAAGATGAAACAGAGGTCCGAGTGGGATAGATTAGGTTGGTGATCCGAAGAGATGGCCATAATAACAACTATCAGGTTTCGTGGCATGCATCAGGCACAGCCAGTCCATGATAAAGATGTTATACCGTATCTGAGTATGTGTGAATACTTCTCTTCTTAAGGCCGTCCATTATTGGCTGGGGGAGCATCATAATTCGCTACGACTCATGATGATAAGTGTGCGCGAAACTGGATACTCCCTTTCCAATGTCCAATTTTTCGAGTATTATCTTGAGAGGAGTGCTGGTGATGCATCGGTAAGATGATCACTTTGGGATGGTTCGGAGTCACGAATATATTGTACACCATATAAGATCACTTCTGATTTTTCTGCAACTGAGAGTGAATAATCCTAAATGCTTGAGTCCATCTTCGGTAGTTGTATTTTTCAACCCTATCACCCACTTCGTTTCTCGTTCCTGCACTCGATCCACGAGAATTATGTCTCTTCTAAAGAGATGATGTGCGATGACGCTGTGGACCTCAAAGTTTAGTAGTGCATTTGTCTTCAACAACGTGAAGAATAAATGTAGGTTGCTAGCACAAAGCTTTATTTGCGTATAACGAGTAGTGGCGTTGGCCTTGGCTGCCTCCCTTATATAGTTGAATCTGGTTCCGAGGATTTTGGTGGTTTTTTAACCGTGATCACGCTCTGAGGAGACATTAGGGAGAGGACTTCCGTTAAGGGTGGATGTCGTTTACTGCATGTGGAGCAGAATGTACGCGATGTGACATTTTGACGGGTTGACTATCAAACCGTTTTCAGTGCCCACTACTCAATAGATATTTTTGAAGCTCAGTAAAATGTCCTTTGCTTCTAACGGACCCATGCGTCTTTCATCGTTTGCGTAGATTATTGTAGCGGCTTAGATCAATCGATCATAGTTCAAATTATTTCCTGGATTGTCATTATTCACATGCAGAGGAAATGACGTGACAGTCTGAAATTTATGACTAATCGAAAGGGAAATTATCTTTTTGATTCACTTATATTAGAAGATTTGAATAAACTTTCAAATCCACCTCACTATTGGCACTAACTAAAATCTCACATTTGAACAGGCTACGTAGAAGATCAATCTGCGTAATATTGTAATGAACTGATCGGTGACATACCACTTGGTAAGATTAAAATGATTCATTATAATATTACTGAATGTGTATAGATGAAGTTAATTTTTGAGTGCATTGTTTACAAAGGCTTATTATACATATATATCCTCCAACTGAATGTCTCTCGCATATATTTGTAATATTTGTTGATAACTAACCATCATATCTCAGTAAATTTAGATATAAGAAACTGAGTTCCTCGAAAGCAAATTGATAAGCAATACGTGTTGCGAAACAATCACATGTTTGATTATATTGTGTATAAACGGAAATTTCGGCCATGTAAACTATGTGAATAATCGACAAACAACATTGCATGTTAATTGAAATATGTCGAACGACATATAGATATAACCGAAGCACTGCTAAACCTCTAATATTAGGTAGAAAATACAGTAGTAAGTCAAGATAAAACTTATACTGACCACTAAAATGAAAGTAAATTACGGTAATATTACCGGCAAATGAAAAAGTATGGCAGTGAAAAGGGAAGAGTAGTGAAGAGTGTCAAGTGAATAGAAGAGAAGTTCAAGTGAGAAGCTAGATTTATGTACTTTGAATTTGAAATTTCAGAGGAGAGAGTAAAGTTTATAAAAAACGTTGAGGATTAAATTTTTTACTGCCTAACTTTAGTGAAGTGCCGACCTCTGAGATATTCTGTAATTGCCTGGGAAACCACTTCGCCTTTCATCTGGAAAGAATAGCGACCTTCACCATTTGTTTGAAAACATGAGTATCTTAAGTAGAATGTGTGGTGGTGTTTCATTCTCTGAGCTGGTTGTTTCGGATTTGGAACTTTCATTGTTGTTGTTGCTACTGTAGTTGAGAATAACAACCAAAAGAGTTACTAGAACCTAAACCAAGTACAGGGACCAATGAACGGATCATTCTACCATACATAAAAAACATATCGGAAAACACAGTACGACTACTGAAACCATTTAGAATAGGTGTGGCACTCAAACCAACAGAATCACTTCAATCAATCTTATGTAGACCAAAGGAAAAAATGATAAAGGAAGAAAAGCCAAATACCATCTACAAAATAAATTGCTGAGACTGTGAAAAACACTACATAGGACAAAGTGGACGGCCTCTCCAGCGTTGTTTACGTGAACACCAATTAGCAGTCAAACGCCACGACAACTCTCCACTTATATCAATGCATACCGACAATTGTAGACATACATTCGATTGGGGCAATGTGAAAATACTGGATAGGAGGAGGACAAGCAACAGTAGGGAATTTTTAGAAGCTTGGCACTCAGGTCAATCAGCAATCAATAAACTCATCGACATTGACCCAATTTATCAACCAATCAGAAAAATCATAAGGGACATAGGATCAAGAAACAGATCAAAAAGGGAATACAATCAAAACAAATGTGCAAACAACTACAGGTTTAGGCTCAGCAGCATCCAGTCAAGATGGAGGTCAGCCGAACAAGCTACAGGTAAAGCGTGGAGAAATTCGAATCCCCTCTGTTTTCGTCTTGAAGGATGCTCTGGCGATCCTGCATTCACACGTTTCCCATCCTATCAGTGCTTTCTTCGCCTGTTTGAACAGTATCAGTGCTACTGTTTGTGTGTTTATGACATTTACTCCATTATCAGAGGACGATGGCACTTCACTTGAAAATAATGTTTTATGTTCAGCCTGCATCCAAAGAGTCTGGCTTGTTGCAAAAGGCCATCATAATGTACTTTTATACATCCGCATGAACTTGATTGATTCCATGTAACTGTAATAAATGTTGCGGTGGTTGTCCGAAGACAAATGAGCCTTAAGACATCATTGTAAGGCATCTTAACTGACATTAATGAAGAATCACGAAACTCCAAACAAAACAAAGATGGTAGGATTCCTTTTCTTTATCAGAAGTACAATGGGGCATGAAGGCGCTTATCGTGAGCTCAGCACCTTTATGGAGAGAACGCTATTAGTTTTATAGAAACATTAATTATTATAACCAACCATAGCCGTGATTGTGTATCTGTACTTTTTTTTGATTACACTCTGTGCGCGCAAACTTTCTGTTTGTTTTAACTCCATTTCGGCTCCAATTTTCCCTACTTTTCTGGCGCGATTTTGGTATTCATTCGAAACCACGAAGTCGGCAAGTATATTCTTTAAAATGGATTTATTTATCATCTCTCTGTCAGGCTGATAATAAGTATTTAGTGGTGATCATAGTAAATCTAGGCTCGATCTTCACTTACACATCAATATAACTTACAGTTACACCCTTTTCGCTTACTATATGCGCTGAGTTTCATGTGTAGGATGGCGCATCGAGATTGTCGGCCACCACAACAAACCGATGACCTGCCGGTCACAGAGAAAAATACGTTCATTCATACAAAAGAATATATATTTATTGATGATTTCTTGGCTTCGGAAGAACACCGAAATCATTTCTGAAAAAATTAGCCAAATACAGAGACAGTGGAGTTAAAATGGCAGCAACAAAAACATAAAAATTGAGCGTACGGAGTAGTAATAAACAGAGGTTCAGAAAAACAATCACTGATGCCATTGGTTATGAAGATTAATGTTTCTCTCTAACCAATCGCGCTCTCTTCATAAAAGTAGATCATTACACAACCGTGGAGGCTTCGGTGGTCTGTATATACTTCATATGTGGATCTGTTATGTAAAAACTTCTTCTCTCTCATCAAACACCTAGAATGCTACCGAAATACTGAGCGCAAAGAAATCAATTTTTATATTCTAGCTGGTGAGAAATATATTGTATATGGGATATACTAGCTTCAATACACATTGTATTTTGAGCACTTTCAAGGTCAAAGTGAAGGTGGTTCGCCGTAGGCGCTGATTACAATTACACTACTGTTTTGAGGTAGATCTGTCATACCAATTAAATTTTAACTCACAGAAAGCTTTAGCTTTAAGTGTTCTTCTAGTTTTAACCTGTTATTCCATGGTTAGATATTCCAATCACTGATAGTGTTCACAGAAGAAACCACATAGATTTATTCGTGTGCTATACTTATAGGCAAAGTAAAGCGCGGCTAGAAGAAGCTCAGGACAGAGTAGACTACTACTCGGAGGCCTATGCTCCTTTGGGGGTAACAGGCCTAAGTATGTAATGTCAGTAATTCTTTTAAAACCGACCGTTATTTATCATCCGAAGTAGCTTACATCAAGTTGCGAAACGCCTGGAAAAGTTCAATTTTTCTCACTTTTTGGATACTATGTTTGTTATTTTACTATTAACAATCCACATAATGTTAATTCTACTTGTAATGTCATCGGATAGTTGTTTGGCTGTTATAATTATACATGTTTTCATATGTAGTCAAGATAAATATAGTGTGCTATATATTCTATCTGCTAACTTAACGCAGTGAGTAGAATAGAGATATGAAGTAATTATTAGTGTAACAGTGTATAATGTCTACACGAGTTAATTGACTCATTGTTTCCATGTTTTAATTACGATTGAATTAGCATTATTTACACTGCAATAGTATACTTACTATCTCAACGTCCAATCTGGGTATTTAAACTAATGTTCATTTATTCTGATTCCATTGAATTTTATGTTAATTAATTGTATGCAGATTGATTTGCTAAACTTTCAAACATTGTTTATGACTAACTGATATTATTATTTATTTTCTTTTCAAAAAAATTAGTTTCTACTCATTGTAGTAATCAATCAGATTATCATTTGTTGAGTCTGTATTATTACATTTTGTAATTTTGTGCAATAAAAATGTCCTATTCACCTGAAACTACAGTAGTTCATGGAAATAATGCAAATGATGGCACTGGACTAGGAAACAAATTGTTCAACCTAAAGCCTTCTTTTACTGATATTGATGATGTTTATTTATCTACAAATCTCAATGAATTAGATCATAACTCATCTGTTTCAATGGTAATGTCTGAACGAGTTCAACGTATAGCTTCTGGTATATACAAAGAGTTTGAAACTATGATAGAGGCTTATGGATTACCGGTTGTAGAACGTTTAATGCCATTAATCATTAGTCTATTAGAAAATTTGGATGAATTATATAAAGATCAGTCTGCATACCATGCTGAAGTAAGACAATTACGTGAAGAAAATGAACATATTTTTGATCAACTCACTGCTGAAAAGGCTGCTCGAAAACAGTCCGAGCTGGTGAGTGAACTGTTAATCATGTGAATTTTTGTTTTTAATTATTGTAATGCGATGATATTTCTGGTTTTATTGATAACCAAATCGACTAGCATATAGACCATTATAAAAAAATTATCTGTTTTTTTCTTATGAGTAATAGGATTCAATTAGTACATTGAGTACAATAGTACAAAACTTTCCTTTTTGAGAAGGTACTATATTGTAGAATGAATTTCTGAAGGATAGCAGTAGAGTGGTCCATAGCCACAAAAAATTAAATCTATTTTAACTTTTGGATATCAGTTGCTTAGATACAACCTGTAAAACTTTATCTATGCTGGTTGTGTATCTAACAGCTTGAACTCAGTAATAAGAAGTGTAATGTAGACTGTATTAAGAGCTTTTAAGGAATCGAGACGTATATTATGTTCAGCTTCCAATTCCGATTAAGAATGTTAGTTCGTCCAACCCTCTTAGTCAGCAAACTGTTAGTGCATGAGTGGTCATTCCTGAGACAGTGTTGCTGGAGTATAAAAAAGCTTATAAGTAGCAGACAGTGGTCGAAACAGTCATATATAGAAGACTCCTTCATTTTTTATGGTATCGAAAGAATCACTATTACACAGTTGCTTATTCGTTCATTTCATCCATTTTCTCTGAAATAATTTTGAAATATGCCAGATTTCAGTTATCTTGGAATGCATTATGACTTAGAAATATGAAAGTTTGACACTGAGAAGAGTAGCCAGTAGTGATTGCTCTTTTTTTCCAGCTCTAGCAGAATGAACCATATAAAATCCAGGAGTTGTCTTATTTTGAATACTTCAGCCTCTGATATAACGATTCAGCGCTTAGATTGTGACTATCGTCAACTTAGGTTTTTAAAATGTTCGATAACAGTTTTGCAAAGACTTCTGTAGGAGTACAGTTGTCGATATTATATGAACTACAACATAGAACATTGACGTACCGTATCAGCACACAGAGATAGAATCGTCACTTCAAATCCCGTCGTAGTATTAGCGGTAATGAATAAGATTAAGGATCGAAGGCGTGATTTATGAAGTGTAATCCAGTGAAAAATAGAGTTGATAAGGATCAGAATTTGAGAGAAGACAAACTAATCATGCACTTCTCACTGTCGCAAACGATTTTGTGCCATGTCATTCAAAGTATCTAACCATCGTTTAATACCATCAGTCCTGATTGGATGGTGTCTGGTTAAATCTCAGCACGGATACAGTAGGCTCGTCTAGGTTTCGCCAACTCGAATCACTTATGGCGTAGGCTAGGTATCCGTCTGCCAGTCCAAAGGATTTCGCAGCGGTCGGTCAGTAAGAGCAGAGGATATTTGTAGGCTATTAGAATCCGATCATCGATGTCTTCAAAGCATCGCTCGTATATCCTGCGACATTCGAATAGAGAATGCTAGTGTTGGCAGACCAATAAATGAGTGAGACATCGTCGGTTGAGGTGGATGGGATATGTATTACGAATGCCTGGTGTAGGGTAAGCTGGAAAAAAGGTAGGGGTGGCCTAACAGAAACATGGCACAAATCCATGAAGTCATTGACAACTGATCTGAGTAATTTTTCTATCGGTTTTGTTTAGTCCACATACTTAAGCATTTAAGTCACCAGCCTACATTAATTCATCAGAGTGCTTTTTGAAGTAGATTGGAAAGCTTTCCATAAAATTCACCTCATCCGAGCTGCAATCAGCGGGAGCATAGGTTGAGTCAACGAAGAGGCAACGATGAGTGTCCTTATCATTCCATGTCCTTACTGTGCCATCTAATCGCACAGCACATGAGCGATTGTTTAGTGGGATCCAGTCTAAAAGAGCTATCTCTGCTTGAGAAGTTCATGTTATATGTACACCAGTGAGACCACAGGAAGAAACAATGTTGCTTCCAGATACACGAAGCTTAAATTACTGCGGTTCTTTATATTAACAAGATGAGGTCAAATGAATGACTGTACTCGGATCCTGTATACGCGTTCTGGAGACTCAGCATACATCGATGACACGAGATTCTAATGCCGTTTCCAAGGAAGCCTATTGTCTTATTTTGCACAAGGTCTGTACAATAAAAGCTTCAATATGTTGTTTGGAACAGGGTTTCAGGAAACCAGAAATAATGTTTTGTGTACTTGAATCGTTTGCATAAGCAGCACGAGGTAACGAAGGAATGTGAGAAGGGTTAACCTTGGAAATGAGACAGTTAATAAGAGGTATAGCAAGGTTTTGATTGTAACTGGATGTAAGGGTAACTGTTGCTTTCGGGTGCTTTTGAGGAATCTGCAAATTAAATCAGGTTAGCGTTGATCTCAGAGACCTTGGAGCGTGACCACGGAGCCCAACGGACAACTGGTTGAGGTTGGGCACGCACGGCTTTTTTATGGGAAAATTTTAAGTTGTTATCTCCACTGTTCAAGTGATCCTACCGCTGGAGACGAAAATCCATAATGTGGCGGTGGTGTTTGACATTTTCACGGTGGACCTTTTTTAACCCCTTTTTACCGTTGTGAGAAGGCAGCATCGGTACTGATGCTAGTTTTTTTGAGTGAAACAGCTTATCGCTGTTGCATGCCTCTACAGTGTCAGCATTATGACTTCGTCTTCTCAGACCTTAAGTTGCTGCTTTTAGTCTTACCACATTATTCGATCAGCCTGCATAGTAGGCATAGTAGGGGACCTAAAGGAGCATGAATCCCAGTCAATTTAGCTTGGTTGGGTCATCACGATAGACAAGCCTGACCAATCACGTCAAGGTAACAACTACAGTTGGGATTTTGATGATCAGAATTTTGTCTCGTGCTGTTATGGGTATGAGGGCGGTTATCACTTCCCGGCTGCCCACACCATGGAAGGTTGTTTCCTGAGGGACCTGAAAAGGAAGATAGATTAGTGTTGGTGCATGACCGCAGAGCCCAAGGGACAACTGCTTGAGGCCGGTCACGCACGGCCTTTTTATGAAAGGTTTTTTGAGTATTAGCTCCGCTCTTAAAAGCCCTTAGTGGGCACCCTTACCGCCGGAGACGGAAATCCGTGAGGTAGGGTGAGGTGTGACATTTTTAGGTTCGACCTTTTCTAACCGCTCCCTTCCTTGTGAGAAGGCAGCATCGCTGCAAATGCTGGTTTTTGTCCGAAGGAAACACCTTACTGCTGTCACACCCCTCCATCACAGTCAGTCAGCAGTACGACTTCGCCCTCAGACCTTGAGTAGCTGCTTTTAGTCTCATCGTTCTCCAATCGACCAGCCTGGCATGGCAGAACCTTCAGGAACATGAGTTCCAGCCAATATAACTCGGTTGGGTCATGAAGATAGTCAAGCCCGACCACTGCCACGTCAAGGTAGCAGCTTCGGTCGAGATGATCAGAATGCTGGAAATGTTTATTACTTGGTATTGAAAATTTGACAAACCATATTATTGTCATATCAATCCATCTATTTATCTTATTTTAGCGTTTATTAAATACAGAAGATGCTTTCGATGAAGAAAGAAAAGTCAATGAAGCAAAACATGAATCATTATTTACTACATGTCGACAAACTGAATTAAAACTTCAATTAGCTAAAGATCAAGGTTTGTTTTGCATATTTTATTTATTTATTTATTCATTCATCCAATATCCTAGGCGAATGATTATTGGTCAATTCTTATTGGTTAATTCTTATTGGTCAATTTTAAAGCACGGATACAGAAGGCTCGGTTGGCTTTTGTCAACTTGCGTCACCCAATAGCGCAGGCGAGATATCCACTTGTTAACCAAAGGAAGAGTGTACTGTTCATGGCGAAACATGGCTGTTAAGAGTAGAGGACGTTCGTAGGTTACTAGTTTTCTATCATCGATGTCTCCGAAGCATTGCTCGTGTATCCTGGGACAACCGTGTAAGCAATGCTGTCGTTAGGAAACGAGTTCTAGGCAGGGATGGCAAATCAATAGATGAAGTAGTGAAACTTCATCAGTTGAGGTGGTTGGGACGTGTTATGTATGCCTAACCACCGACTGCCTCGATGAGCTATGTTTTACAGTGTAGGGGTAGGTTGGAAGAAAGCTAAGGGCAGCCAAAACAAAACATGGCATAAATCTATGTAGTCCCTGACAAGTGGACTGAGTTATGTTGTTAGATGTAGGCTACCTGGTTGGGGTTCGCGAGACGAAAGTCACCGATGGTTAGAGACCTTGAACGACATGCCTGAGAATCGTTTGCGATTGCGCAAGTGCATCCGCTCTTTGTGTTTTCTGTAGTTCTAACCTTCTGTATTCCTCATAATCTCTACCTTTCTCCTTCTGAATTTATCTTACTGAATTATACTTTTCGAATCATATCTTCGCTTCCTAATCTTCTCCATTACTGCTAATACTCCTACTATCGCTACCACTATGTGATTTGAACTGACAGTTGCGTCTCTGTGCTAATGCGGTATGGCAACCTGAACTGATGCACTTACTTTCGAAGTTCCGCGTTCTGTCTGTCTGTCTGGTCTATTTTATTGTCGTCCTAGATATCGATGTCATGTACTCCAATGTTGTTTCTTATCGGTCGTCCTGAGTTTCAATATCACTTCAAATGTTGTTTTCTATTGATCGATTTAACTGTCAATGTTACAGACTTTGATGCTGTTTCCTATTCGACCTAAATGTATAAATACGCATTATCTGTAACGTTTTATGACCCGTATCCTTAGTCTGGGATCCTGATTCTCTTATGGATTCTGACCTTGTATTTTCTGAATGCTTGTAGAATACAGGTTCTACTTCATAACAAGTCGTCTTCTTCTACTCAATATGGGATTTGAGGCACTCGGATTAGAGTAACATGTCGTGTCGCCGAATCCTCGATCCTCGCTCTCGTTTTCCGACTACGATAAACTCGTAATGGTTCAAGCATATCAAAGTGACGTGTTTACTTGCATGAGTAACAAGAGTATCGAAAGTCTACTTTCTTTATCACCGTGCTATTCACATATAGCCATAGTCATCATATAATCTTTTCACTTGATCACTTCTGTTTGCTTTTCTATATTCATTCTGTCTCTTGATAACCAACATTGGCTTCTTGAGTTTATATGATAGCGTTGAGAGATTGGACGTTTTCTTGATGATCTTTTCAGTGTCTCACTGTCAGTCTTCCTGCACTGACGCTGTTCAGTCAGTCAGTTATAACATAGAACTTGATACGTACGTACATAAGTTCATGTTGCCATATGACATTAGCATAGAGACGTAACTGTCAGTTTAAACCTCATAGTGGTAGAGATATAGTAGAAGTATAAGCAGTAATCAGAAAGATTATGATTCGAAGATATCATTGAAGACGTATAATCCAATGAGATAAATTTAGGGAGAGAAAGGTAAAGGTGATGAATAATTCAGAAGATTGTAATTTCTTAGAACACAAAGAGTGGAGGATGTATCTGCGTGTCATTGTAAACAATTTGTGAGCCATGTCGTTCAAGGTATTTAACCATCAGTTACTATCATCTCGTGGACAACAACCATGTGGTGTCTATACCTACTAACATAACTCCGTTCAGTTGTCAGTGACTTCATGTTTTGTTCTGGCCGCCGCCCTAATAAGTCCGTGTTAAGAACTTATTTATTCAACTTTCTTAATCGTTCATCCAGAAAATAGTTTACATTGTGTCCTGTTAGATTTTTTATGTGTTCACACATTCATTGTGTATATCACATAACGAACTCCGTTTACAATATGAGACACTTAATAACCCTAACCAATTTCCACTGTCAAAAGTTTCTTACATACATTGGTGATTCACATCCAACTTTGGTGCGCACTACTTATAAGTAGTATATGACGCGCGAGTGTAAACGTAATGTCTAGCAGCAGAAGATGGGGGAAGATCAAGAAAGGGAGGAAGAGTGGGAGGAACGCAATGGAATTTGTATGAAATGCATGAATAAGTGAAATGTCAGACAATGGATTGATGATTGATTGAAGATTTGCAAATTAACGGTTACGATATGGTTTTCCTATTTTACTGAGTAACTCTGTAATTTTCGTTAAATACAATTCGGTTGCCCTCATCCTTGACAGTAACCAACTTTTGTCCGTATTCATCTCTTTCTCGATTACTGGTTTATGGTCCACAAGATGATAGTTATCGATGTTTAGAGAGAGACTCTGAATGACACGGCCTAAAACTGTTTGGCAAAAGCGCAGGTGTAATCATTCTATGTGTTCTATCAAATCTTAACCTTGTGAAATCCTCATCATCTTTATCTTGTTTCGTTTTTAAGTTTATTTCACTAGATTCTACTTCTTGAATAGTGTATCATAGCAACCTAGTCACTTCGTTTTACTGCTAATTCTTCTGAGAAGACTGAGGCAGGCGCGGTTGATTGTATTTAGCAAATTTACACTCTTAGTCAATTAAAAACGAAAACATTACATTGAACACTCACTCTATTTGCACACCATCTTTGAGTCCTGACTTCCAACGCTCCAGCCTTCATCCATTCCTGTTGTTGCTTCCTTTCCTTCCTGTTGGTACTACTCCATTTACTTCTTGCTTTTGCTCCATTTGCTTTCCGTTTTCCTCTTGTGACCGTGAGACTTCTTCTTTCACGTCCCTTCTTATACTACTTATATCGTTCGTATAAGTAGCACACACCACACTACTACCTCTACTGCTCTATGGGATTTGAAATGACAATAGCGTCTGTGTGTGTGTGGGTGTACTAATATATGGAATATATGGGCAACTTGAACTGATGTACGTACGTACGTACGTACATATGCATCAGTATACGAATCAAATTGTCTTTTTATAGTTGTGTTAGGAGGATATTCATCCAATATCCTAAGATAATTATTTTTTAGTCAATTTCTATTGGTCATTCTAATTACTATCCATTTCACAGACACGCAATGTTGTTTCTTATTCGACTTAACTGTCTAAATATGCATTATCTGTGTAATACTTTATGACCCGGATCCTTAGCCTCTTCTGGACTTGAACCTCGTACTTTCTGAATGCTTGTAGAATACATGTTCTACTTCCTATCAAATCTTCTAATTTTACTCAATGTGGGGGGCGGGGGGTGGGGTTGGGACGCTCGGAAATAAAGTAGCCTGTTATATCACCGGATCCTCGTTCCTCATTCTCGTTTTTTTTGCGACTAAATTAAACTCGTAATAGTAATAATAATAATAATAATTGAAGCCATATCAAATGTCAAATGCAAAGTAGAACTTCGTACGTAAATACATCGGTTCATGTTGCCATACCACATCAGCACACACAGATGTAATTGTCAATTCAAATCCAATAGTACAAGACGTAGTAAAGGTATTAGAAGTAATCGGAGAGGTTAGGATAAGAAGATATTATTCAAGAAGTATATGATTCAGTGAGAAAAATTCAGAAAGTCAAAACTAGAGATGCTGAAGAATCCAGAAGATTAGGATTTGAGAGAAACCAAAGAACACAAATGCACCAGCGCCATGTCATTCAAGGTCTCTAACCATCGATTATTATCATCTCGTGGACTCCAACCAACCAGTTAGTCGACATCTACCAACATGATTCAGTCCACTCGTAAATGACTTCATGGATTTCTGCCATGTTTTAGTTTGACCGCCCCTAACTTTCTCTTCCAACCTACTCCTATACTACAAAACAAAGCTCTTCGAGGCAGTCGATGGTTAGGCATACAGTCATATGAAATTGACGTGTTTATATATATATATATATATATATATATATATATATATATATATATATATATATATATATATATATATATATGCAATGCATATCAACAAGTGCTCTGATTGTTAGCCTATCATATTTTTTTTCCAGTTTCACGTTTAGAATTCAAAGAAAATGAATGGAAAAAAGAAGAGAATCGTTTACATGAACGTCTTAATGAATTAATACGTTCAAATATTGAATTAACGGAACAAATTAAATTTATGAATAGCAATAGTAACAATCATACTACTACTAGTAGTACTACTAATAGTCAACAAGACCATCAACATCAATCAATCAATTTATTAAATAATAATAATAATAATATCCATAAAAATAAATTAACCATGAATTATGCATTGAATAAATCGAATCAAATAGAATCGAAAGAGTATAATAATGTCAGTCAAACAATGAATAAATTATCTGGTAAGTGATTTCAAATTTTGTGTGTGTGTGTGTGTGTGTATAATTGTTGTAACGCCACGCTTAGAATAATTCCCGGCTAAATCCTATTTATTGCTCAGTATTGTCTGACTACAAACGATACACTGGATAAGTTCCAAAAACACGGTTGAACAGGAAAAGATTATATTTCAAAATAGCAAGGTTAAATGAAAATAAGAAGCCGAAGGCGAAAATAGATACGTTAGTTTATTTATAGCACTTTTCATGAGAAGATCCTGGTTAGAAATTCACGTGATCGAATGGATTAGATTTGACCAATCAGCACGCAGTTAACAATACGAGAATTTTCTACCCTGTTCTCCAAGAATCGATCAGGCGCTGATTGGATAGGAAATCAGCCAATCAGCGCTCAGCTGGCCCAGTCATGCTTTAACTCCATCTATGTCCCACTAACACCTCCCCTTTGAGAAGATTCATAGGATCTGGTGCTTCCTGGGTGCCTTGCTACCCGTACTCTTACGAGCCGCCTGCTTTGTTGGAGCCATATCTTTAAACAACCGTCGATTGGACTGCTTCCCGACCGATAAGTTTAGTTGAGGCTGATGAACAGCATATGGTAAAGGGCGTCTCGGACGTGAAATAGGTTTGGCATCTGCTTTCACTAGTAGGTGAGCTTTCATGTTCGTACACCGGCCAAGGCTATTCTGAAAAACAGAGGCTGACTTCCTCTTCCGTTTATCTTGTAACCTTTCACCTGTCTTCTTTGTAAGTATCGGGGTGTTCAATGATGAACACGACACGCTGCAGACACTGTTAATGGGTAAATCCATTATTCCCAGTTTTTCTAGCATATCTAGACCAAGAAGATCAAGGTTTGGACGTTCTGTCAGATAGCATATTCCTGTACATTTTGTTCCGTTGAAGGAAAATTCACACTGTATCTCACCAACCAGTTTTAACACACCACCTGAAGCGCTTTTAGCTGTTTTCTTAGATGGCTTCATTGGCGGTTTTCTCAACAAGTTATACGTTTCTCTAGACACTAAGGTGATATATCTGATGCCGTGTCGATTTGAAAACGAGCGGATGCACCGTTCATCTGGATAGTCACATACTTTCTCCGAACGTCGTAGTCTGTTTGAAAAGAAGCTACCAGAAAAAGTGATTTAGACTCGGCTAATTTCACCACATGTCGAGTACGTTTATGCTTCTTCCTGGGCTGAGACGTACGATTTGGTTGACAATGGCCTTCTTTATGTCCACGTTTGTTGCACATCTGACATTTATGTTTTTTTAAATGGACAGAATCGTACGTAATGCCAATCACCACATAGCCCACAGTAATGCTTCATTTTATTTCTTTCTTCATTGTGCTTTTATCATTGAATGCAGGGTGTTACGGGTACACGGGTATGAGGTTGGTTGTCACTTCCCGGCTGCCCACACACATCGTGGAAGGTTGTCTCTTGAGGGACCTGAAAAGGAAGATAGATAGATTAGTGTTGGTCTTGGAGACCTGGGTGCGTGACCGTAGAGCTCAGCGGACAACTGCTTGGGGCCGGTCATTCACGGACTGTTTATGAAAGGTTTTTTGAGGATTAGCTCCGTCACTTTTCGAAAGCCCTTAGTGGGCAGTCCTTACCGACGGAGACGGGAGTCTGTGAGGTAGTGTGAGGTGTCACATTTTTAGGGTCGACCTTTTCTAACCGCAGCATCGCTGCAGATGCTGGTTGTTCTCCGAGGGGAACACCTTACTGCTGTCACACCGCTCCATCACAGTCAGAAGTACGAATTCGCCCTCAGACCTTGAGTAGCTGCTTTTAGTCTCATCATTCTTCAATCGACTAGCCTGGCATGGTAGAACTTTCAGAAACATATGTTCCAGCCAATATAGCTCGGTTGTGTCATCACGATAGGCAAGCCCGACCACCACGTCAAGGTAGCAGCTACAGTCGGGAGAATGCTGATTAGGTTGAGTTAGGTAGCACGCATAAGGGGTAGGTTTAGAAAGCTGTCAAATTGTTGAGGACGTTTGATTTTAATGTTTTAGATTGCTTAGGTTTTCGTGTATGGGCTAATCAGTTGACTTTGAGATTACATTTCCTACCTAGGAAATGTGTGACTATAATTGGTTGAGTATGCTACTTTTGTGTCTTTCTCAAGGTCGTTTGTATTATTGTATAAATCAACTCAATTTGTGTGTGCTTATTGCTTAAATTTTCTACGTCTTGTCAAAACTTCTTCCACTACTTAGTGGAGTTTCGGGACGCTGGGATTCAAGTAGCCTATCGTGTCACTGGATCATTTGTCTTCGTTTTCGTTTGCCCCAACATGTAGTGTAGAACGGGGTTTAAGGAGACCAGGAATGACGTTTCATGAACTCGCATCGTTTGCTGAGGTGGTATGGCAACCTGAACTGATGCACTTATGTACAAAGTTCTGCGTTGTATCTGTCTGTCTGTCTGTCTGTTTTTGTTTGCCTACCAAGGTGAATTCCTAATAGCTTTCAAGTATATCAACTAGTTTCAAGCATAACAAAAAGCATAAAATTTGATCTTAACTAGATCATTATTAGAAACTTGGTGGTGCTGCGAACGACTTGTTTCATCAGCCTAGGTTGTTTGTTGATTCTCAACATTGCGCATCTATGACACACGCAAGCAGGAATCGAACCTGTGATGTTGTTTGCTCTCATGTGCGAGAAGGTTTTTAGCTTTTAATGAATAAGTCAATAGAAAATAGTTTGTATGTCTAATTTTAATCGACTTTTATACTCGCTTTCAGTTGTGTGAAATAGCATCCGTGCTACGCTACGAGACGGCAGTTAGGAGTGGTATAGGACAGTAGCCTGACAGTGGCTATATACATACACATGGGGGTATATGAAAGCATTTCGAAAAAAGGATGAGAATTCTTTCTCCATTTTGCAGTCACACACCTAGTCATTTATTTATGTTATGCTCGTCAACTGTGATATGCTTGAAACTATTACGAGTTAACCTTAGTTGGTAAACGAGAGTGAATACATATGATCGAGTGACACGATAAGCTACTCTAATCCGAGCTTCCCAAGGCCCTTACTAAGTATAGGAAGAAGTTTTGACACAAGACATAGACAGTGTATTGGACAAGCATCCAGGAAATATGTGGTGCTGAAGGCATACAAATCGAGTTTATTTTATACAATAATAGAAACGACCTTGAGGAAGCCACACAAATAGCCTACTCAAATAATACATCAATCAGTCAATCACAGTCTTGGATTTTCCGAGTTGGGAAATGTAATCTCAAAGTCAACTGATATCAGCTCATACATGAAAATTTTTATCAAGTGAGTTTTTTTAAGGTAACTAACGTCCCCAAAAACACTTTTAACTATGATAAATATCATCCATCCTGTTTAATGTAATTTATTGATTAATGTCTATTTTTAATTTTTTCTCTCTCTTTCAATTGTATATTGTACATTGACATTTGAACAGTTCATTCAAATTCACTTGATGTTGGCTATGATGCTACTAGGTAAGTACACCCATTGTATGATGAAAATAAACATTTTTTATGATAAACAATAAAATTATGCGCATCCTCACGATACTTGCAACTTGCAAAGCTTGCTTGAATTGTGGACGTTCGGTTTTTTTCATGTGAACGCCTAACCTTTGGACGACCACATTGAGTCGGTTGTCATTTAACGGTATTAATGTCTATCTAACTTTGATCATTTCATAGTCTTGTACAATGTTGTCATTCACTGTCTTCGGTGAGCACTGATTTATACCTGAGCTCTACTGGTTGTGGAGAGTAGAAGATATTCGTAGGTTACTGGTTTTCAATCATAGGTGTCTTCGAAGCATTGCTGGTATATCGTGGGACAACCGAATGAGCAACGCTGTTATTAGGAAACGGGTTCTAGGTAAGTATGGCAGGTCAATAGATGAAGTAATGAAACTTCATCAGTTGAGGTGGTTGGGACATTCGTTGCGTATGCCCAACCACCGACTGCCTCGTCGAGCCTTGTTTTGTAGTGTAGGAGTAGGTTGATAGAAAGCTAGGGTCGGCCAAACCAAAACATGGCAGAAATGCATGAAGTCATTGACGAGTGGACTGAGCCATGTCGGTAATTGTCGACTACCTGGTTGGGGTCCGCGAGATGATAATAATCGATGGCTAGAGACCTTGAATGACATGGCTCAAAATCGTTCGCAATGGCGCCGGTGCATTTATTCTTTGTGTTCTCTCAAATCCTAATCTTCTGGATTCTTCAACACCTCTAGTTCTGATTTTTTAAATTTTTCTCACTGAATCATATACTTCTTGAATAATAATATCTTCTAATCCTAACCTCCTCTCCGATTACTTCTAATACCTTTACTAACTCTTCTACTATTGGATTTGAATTGACAATTACATCTCTGTGCTAATAATGTGGTATGGCAACATGAACTGATGTACTTACGTACGTAGTTCTACGTTGCATCTGACTGACTGACTGGTTCTACTGGTTGTGACTTCTCACTAGAACTCGAAGAAACTTCCTCACAGTGCTAGTCACTAATGAACACATGTAATTTGTTCATTACACAGGGTTGGGAAGATTATTGAGTTAGTTTTTCGAAATGATAAATGGCAGTGATGAGTTTCATGCCAGGAAGAAACGGCCGTCTTTCAGTGCTTCCAGGTTTCTAATGGTGGTGTCTAACATTTATCAGTTTATGATTTCTAGTATGGAACGCTGGGACATCCTCATTCCATATCAATGGTTCAAATGAGCTCCATTGTCCTCACAGAAGAAATGGCGTATGTACATATTTTTAGTGACTCGCTACTATGGGACTGTATCTGCTTACGTCGCATCACTACCGTGTGAATTAGACTTTCGGGTGAAAGGTTGGAGATATGATCCTCTGGGTTATTAATATCCTAGCCCACTCACAAATCCAATTATTTGTTAGACATTCAGTCAATTACAACGTAGAACTTCATACATCAGTATCAGCACAGAGATGCAATTGTCACTTCAAATCTCCTGGTAGTAGAGGTGTAGTGAAGGAGAACACGGGTGAGGGGAACCGAATTGTATATGTCGCAAATTACAGAGTTACTCAGTAAAATAGGAAAACCATATCGTAACCGTTAATTTGCAAATCTTCAATCCATCATCAATCCATTGTCTGACATTGTCACTATTCATGCGTTTCATACAAATTCCATTGTGTTCCCACTCTTCCTCCCTTTCTTGATCTTCCCCCATCTTCTGCTGCCAGACATTACGTTTACACTCGCGTCATATACTACTTATAAGTAGCGCGCACCACAGAGGTAGTATTAGTAGCATTGGCAGAAATCGGGAGAGATTAAGTTGCAACGATATTATTCAAGAAGTAGAATCTAGTGAAATAAACTGAAAAAGAAAAGTATAAAGGTGATAAACGGATTTCACAAGGTTGGGATTTGACAGAACACAAATAATGAATACACCTGCGCCTTTGCCAAACAATTTTGAGCAATATTGTTCAAGGTACTCTAACAATCGATGACTATCATTTCGCGGGCCCCAACTAGGTAGCCTGCTGTTGGGGATGTTAGATCCCCAAAACTCGCTTGATAAATGCCTTAATTTCGAATTTCACGTTTGCCAGCATGGGCTGATCAGTTGACCTTGAGATTTCATTTCCCACCAGGAAAATCCATGGCTATGATTGGCTGCTGTGTATTTTAGTGTGCTATTTTCGTAGCTGTCCAAATGACGTTTCTATGATGTATAAATAAACGAGAGTTGTGTGCTTGATTGTATTGTATGATTGCTGGGTGTTTGTAGAATATATTTTCTACGCTGACAAAGCCTTCTATCTTCAGATTGGGATTCAAGGTAGTAGTCTATTTGGATGCTGGTAATTGTCTCGTTCGCGTTTATCGACTAAGTGACGAACTCAATACCTACATATATCATTATGACTCCATTCAGTTGTCAGTGACTTCATGCAGTTGTGGCATGTTTCGTTTTGGTTGCCCCTAACTTTCTTTCAACCTACTCCTACACCATAAAACATTACTTCTTTGAGGTAGTGTTCGGTGGTTTGGGCATTCGTACTTTGATTGTTAAGTTTCTTTTTTGATATAGATCTAACTGATTTATATATATATATATATATATATATATATATATATATATCACTTAATAATCACTTGATGTTAGCTTAGTAGAGAAAAAAACTTGTATGAAATCTTGGAAAATGAAATCAAACTAACTCCACACACACTAAAACAAACTTGTTCAATCATGTTGAACCATTGATCAAATGTAAATTATTATTATTATTATTATGACTATTATTAGTATGAAAATTTCAATTGTCCAGCTTCATTTTTGACAAACATAACTTTTTTTTATTTGTTGTAGACAGGTTAAATCTTGTTCTCTAACTGGGGTATATCGTTGTTGCTTTTTTAATGTTTTCGTTTGTTTGTTTGATTGTTTAAATGGTTGGTTTATAAGTTTGTTATGTAGTTGAGAAGAATATTGTTATGACCTTGAGTTGTTATTTGGCGCATCTGTTGTTGTTAGACATTAGAGTTAGACATTAACACCGTTGGATGCCGGCCCAGTGATCCGATGGTTTAGGCGTTCGCTCACAATACCGAAGGTCCCGGGTTCGAGTCGTATGAGGTGCAGTAGTCGTGGATGCGCACTGTCGCGCTGATGAGTAGTCTCATACCAGGATGAAACGGCCGTCTTTCAGTGCTTTCAGGTTTCTAATGGTAGCAGTCTAACAATGATTGATTGATGAATTCAAATGTGTAATAAGGCACAAACCGCCAAACCTCTGCCCGAAAGCATCGGTTATTGTTGTTGTATTTTCCAGTAAGTCATATGTGTAGGATCTTATTCAAGGTGTTCAAGTATTTGTCTTTTTTTCTCTCATGAACTACATCCTTTGAAATTACAATTTTGTTAGGCTATATTCATCAAGCATTCAGAAAGTACGAAGTCCGAGTCTAGAAGTGGCTAAGAATCCCGAACTAAGGATCCGGGTTTGGATCATAAATTTTTTACCCAAAATCACCAATCGGCATGAACGTTCAGAGCCGCCTTCAATCATCCTGGAAAGCTACTTCCCTTTCAAGGTATTTGCTACTACTGAATGATAGAGGACAAGTCCTCAAACCATTATCGGAATTCGCCTTTGATCGGTGGACGGGATTCAGACTTAGAGGCGTTCAGTCTTAATCCCTTAGAGTGGCCAACTGCATCCACAGTCTTGCGACCATGAACACATACCATCATTCTGGACCATGCTGGGCACGGTATCCTAAGCGTTCAGAACGTCTTTTAGCCGCAGCTCTGTGAACAACGCCACGTTGCCTGGCAGGACCTCGAAGAGGTAGCCGCCACCACAAACCCCAGAAGGCTCCATTTATTCGCGTCACCTAATATGCCCATTCAATTCAGCAGCAGCACTAACTTCATTAAGAAGTAAAGTATTCACATTTCTCCATGTATGACTTGTAGCTGATTGTGTTGACCTCAATCTGGATTGATTGTAGTCCTCCATTTTACGTTGATTGTATCGCCGCCCCTCCCTCACTTTGGATTTGATTCTTTCGTCCAAGTTTGTCTATGATTTTTTCTCATTAGTGAATAAGTTAGATTGATATCGAAGGATTTGATTTCTACCAATTTAGTCTCGTGTATGAGGGCGGTTGTCACTTCCCGGCTGCCCACACCGTGGAAGGTTGTTTCTTGAGGGACCTGAGAAGGAAGATAGATTGGTGTTGGTCTTAGAGACGTGGGTGCGTGACCGCAGAGCCCAAGGGACAACTGTTTGAGGCCGGTCACGCACGAACTTTTTATGAAGAGTTTTTTGAGTATTAGCTCCTCTCTTAAAGGCCCTTAGTGGGCACCCTTACCCAAGGAGACAGAAATCCGTGAGGTAGTGTGAGGTGTGACATTTTTAGGGTCGACCTTTTCTAACCGCTTCCTTCCTTGTGAGAAGGCAGCATCACTGCAGATGCTGGTTGTTGTCCGAGGGAAACACCTTACTGCTGTCACACCCCTCCATCACAGTCAGCAGTACGACTTCGCCCTGAGACCTTGAGTAGCTGCTTTTACTCTGATCGTTCTCCAATCGACCTGTCTAGCATGGTAGAACCTACAGGAACATATGTTCCAGCCAGTATAGCTCGGTTGTGTCATCACGATAGGCAAGCCCGACCATCACGTCAAGGTAGCAGCTACGGTCGGGAGATTAATATCAATGTGTGTGTTTGTTGATTGATTGTCTGTTGACTTGTTCGGTTGATGATGATGATTTCAATGAAAATCCAAATTCACTAATTAAATTGTATGTTTCTGGTCGTTTTTTTTAATGGTACAATATAAAGGCTTGCTGATGATAATTTGGCACTGTGTTCATGTTCACTGAACGATTGGTCTCTTTTTTTCTCCTCAACTTATATTTACAGCAGTGGATTTGGTTTTGATGAAATGCCAAGTATGCTGGAATCGGAGAGTGGTGTTGCTGGTGGTGGTGGTCTATTGACAGATGATGATCTTCCGGGTAAGAATTTACTGTGTGTGTGTACACAGTGTTGTTTCGTATTTTCTGATTGAAAATTTCAGCTGTACTTAGTCGGTAAACGAAAACAAACACAAATGATTCTGTGACACGATAGGCTACTTTAATCTGAGCGCCCCAACCCCTTACCCCACTAAGTGGAGCAAGAAGTCTTGATATACTGTATAAAGTGTTTTCTATAAGTACTTTGAAAATATTTGGTTGACAAATGCACATTATTAATTGAGTTTATTTATACAATGATAGAAAAATCCTTGAGAGAGCCGCCAAAATAGCGTACTCAAATAATGCACCAACCAATCTGAAATACTTGAGTTTCCAGTTTTCCTGCGTTAGTTCTGGTGATCAGTACATCCAGGAATGATAGGCTGTTGTTTGATTCCTTTTCCATCGTGAATTTAATGTCATCGAAGACGTTGTTGATCTGATTGTAGATGTTCTCCAGCTCGTTCTTTTTGATGATGACGAATGTATCGTCTACATGGCGAACCCACATTTTTGGCTTGATCGCTGATAAAATCCACGCTTCCAGTCTCTGTATTACCGCTTCTTCTATGATTCCTGATATTGGTGATCCCATTGGTGTTTATTTTTGTTTGTTCGTAAACTCTGTTGTTGAATTGAAAATACGTTGTTAAGCATAGATCGATGAGTTCAAGCAGACTTTGACTCTGAAGCTTTGTATATTTGTGCAGATTCATGTCGTTGATGAGGAGCAGGGAAAGAGTTTCCTTAGCTAAGCCTGGCTCTATTGTGGTGAATAAGGTTGTTGCGTCGAAGGATATCATCGTCTCATCGTTGTCGATTTGAATCCTCTTGAGTTTATCCAGGATTTTCCGTGTAAGAAATGTAATCTCAAAGTCAACTGATCAGCTCATGTTCAAAAACGTAACATCCAAAATTACGACCTTTATCAAGTGAGTTGTTGGGGATCTAACATCCTCAACAGTACTACAATCAAGGAGTCATTTAGTTGAGAGGATGATTTCGCGAAACCAATATGTTCTAAAGGTTACAGAGAGGGACAGAGTCGGATGGAGAATCCTGGTGGTTGGCTTATACTCTATTAACGGTCATAGGGGTAAGTAAGTAAGTAAGAAGTGAGGATCATCCAAAAATTACCCTTCCTTTCATCTAACTCTTCACTTAATTGAACACACATGAAAATTTGTCTTACGACGTAAATCATATAAATGAAATAATCCAATTCATTGGTGCCGGAAAAAAATATTATTTTTCAAATAAATTCACTACAATAATCTGAGTTCAATAAAAAATATCAGAAGGTAATGTTTCGTTTGAAAAAATCAACGAGAAATTTCATCGATTAATGTTAGGATGATTTCCAGAAAGTCTTCAAGCGCTTTCAAAATCATTGAACATGTTGTAACGCTTGCTTAGATAATTCACAGCTAAATCCTATTGCTTAGTATTATTCTCTGACTACAAACAATACACTGGACAAGTTCCCAAGAATCAGAAACACGGTTAAACAGGAAAAGATTATATTCCAAATAGCACGGTTAAATGGAAATAAGAAGCCAGCGGTGATGGCGAAGGCGAAGGCAAGAATAGATACAACGTTAGTTTATTTATAGCATTTACATGAGAATGCTTCTGGATAGAAATTCATGTGATCGAATGGATTTTTATTTAGCCAATCAGCACGCAGCTAACAATACGAGAATTTTTTCTACCCTGTTCTCCTAGAATCGATCAGGCGCTGATTGGATAGGAAATTGGCCAATCAGCGCGTAGCAACGTAGTCATGCTTTAATTCCATGTATGTCCCACTAACAGAACAGTTTCCATGAGATTAGACCTTGTTGGAATCATTAAAATTTCCACATGGTTTATAAGGTGATTGAACAATTATGTAACGTTGTTATTCATGGACTGAATGATTTAGTAGATAATGTTTACATGCTACGTCGGTTTTTGCGTCCCGGGACTCATCAGCAGTGCGCATTTTTTTGACTCACTCTATTCTTAGATTTCGAATTGACGACATTCAGTGTTGAGTGCGAACATTCAACATCTGGACCAGATATACACTTATAAATTTACATGTATATGTATACATAAGAGTAAAGCATTCCTCCCGTACATTTAGTTTGAGTTTATGTGAAGCTTATCAAAAAACTAGATCTTGTATTCCTTATTTAACAAACTTACTAGTGTATATTACAATCATTCACCAACTCACAATCTATCTAAACATAAATTAAAACACTGTTTGCCTTTTTATCAAATGTTCAGTCACTCAGTTAGTCAGCCAGTCAGTCAGTGAAAACGTAAAACTTCGTACGTAAGTACATAAGTTCAGATTTTCATATCGCATTAGCACAGAGATGCAATTGTCGATTCAAAGCCCATCGTGATAGAGATAGTAGAAATATTACCGACAATGTAGAGAAGATTAAGGTTTGAAGACATGGTTCAAGTAGTATAATTCAATGAGATAACTTTAGAAACAATAAAAGATAGAAGTGATGAAGAATTTAGAAGATTAGAATTTTTGAAAAAAAACACAAACAGTAGATGCACTGTAGTGAACGAGAACACAGGTGGGGCAACCGAATTGCATTTAACGAACATTACAGAGTTACTCAGTAAAATCGGAAAACCATATCGTAAATCGGTAATTTGCAAAACATCAGTTCATCCTATGGAACTGGACTGTTCCTGTTGCAAAACATCAATCCATTGTCACTATTCATGTGTTTCATACAAATTCCATTGTGTTCTAACTCTTCCTTTCTTGATCTTCCCCCATCTTCTGCTGCCAGACATTACGTTGACACTCACGTCATATACTACTTATAAGTAGCTCGCACCACAGCACCTGTGCCATACATAGCAAACAATTTTTAAGCCATATCGTTCAAATTCCCTCCAATCAACCCTGCTTGACCATGATAGCAGGAACCTACAGAGACGAACATTATATGTGCTCCAGTCAATATTAGTTCGGTTCAATCATCACAATAGGCGAGCTCGACCAGCACAATCACCACCACCGCTAAGACAAGGTAACAGCTATAGTCCGGTTGTTTTTTCAAATCTATCAATCAGTCAGATAGACTAGTGTTGGTCTTGTAGACCTGGGTGCGTGACCGCAGAGCCCAAGGGACAACTGCTTGAGGCCGGTCACTCACGGTCTTTTTATGAAAGGTTTTTTGAGTATTAGCTCCGCTCTTGAAAGCCCTTAGTGGGCACTCTTACCGATGGAGATGGAAATCCGTGAGGTAGTGTGAGGTGTGAAATTTTTAGGGTCGACCTTTTCTAACCGCTTCTTTCCTTGTGAGAAGGCAGCATCGCTGCAGATGCTGGTTGTTGTCCGAGGGAAACACCTTACTGCTGTCACATCCCTCCACAGTCATTCAGCAGCACGACTTCTCCCTCAGACCTTGAGTAACTGCTTTTAGTCTCATCGTTCTCCAATCGACCATCCTGGCATGGTAGAACCTTCAGGAACATATGTTCCAGCCAGTATAGCTCGGTTGAGTCATCACGATAGGCAAGCCCGACCACTGCCACGTCAAGGTAGCAGCTATCAAAAAAATAAATATCATTTATCTGTTCTTCACTCTAAATCAAAATAATTCAAAAGAAAAAAACCGTCTAATTTAAACTTTTATACAAACGAATTATGTATGTATATACTGAACAATACAAAAATAATTCATTGGTGTCATATGAAATTTCTGTCTACATGAGATCTAATTGAGCTTCCTTCTTTAGTTAGTCATTTCTATTTGTTTAGTTGGTTGTTTTATAATCTTGTTTAAATTCAAAACAATGTGATTTTTTTTTGTATATTGTGATTTGTAAAATTAAATTTATTTCAAACACGAATAACATGTGAGTAATAATAAAAATAATATTTGAAACCATGAATCGATCAATGTTAGACCACCATTAGAAACCTGGATGCAAATTACCTGTGCTCACTATTGACTAGCTCCGTGACGAGTCCTCTTCAAGTTGCAGTGGGAAGTCGTAACCAGTTGAAGTTCAACCTGTTCGGGTGTAGACAGTAACTACTATCGAAGACTGTGTATGAGGTTGCGCAACTCCGTGAATTGATCGAAGTTAGACATTAACACCGTTAGATACCGACTGGCTCAGTGGTCCGATGGTTAGGCGTTCGCCTACAATACCGAAGGTCTTGGGTTCGAATCATGCTGGGTGCAGGAGTCGTGGATGTGTACTGTTGAGGAGTTCCATACCAGGACAAAACGGCCGTCCAGTGCTTCCAGGTTCTAATGCTGGTCTAACATTGATAGATTCATGGTTTCAAAAATGTTTAACTTAACAATCTTCACAACCCCGTAATGTAATAATAATAACAACTCAAAATACACACATTTGAAATTATGTTAGATCATCATTAGAAACTTGGAAGCATTGTTTCAATGGCCGTTTCGTCCGTTGGTATCGGACTACTCATTGGTGTCAGCGTGCATCCACGACTTCTGCATTTCGCACAATTCGAACAGAGGACCTTCGGTATTGTGCGCGAACGCCTAACCTCTGGACCACTGAGCCGGTCGGTATCTAATGGTCTTGGATGTCTAACTTTCATCCATTCATTGTCTTGTGCAATCTCATACACTGTCTTTAGTAGTTATTGTCTACACCCGAACAGGTTGAACTTCTTCAACTGGTCACGACTTCCCACTACAACTTGAAGAGGACTCGTCACAGAGCTAGTCACTAGTGAGCACAAGTAATTGCGCTACAGGGTTTTGAAGATTGTTAAGTTATACATTTGAAGTCATGATATATATATATATATATATATATATATATATATATATATATATATATATATATATATATATAGTTTCTGTTATTCTTCCCAACAATAATCAACAAACTGAGATCGTTGTGATGATTCTTATGTAAAATAATAGTTTGTCGGCATCATGAGATGAATTTTTGTGTGTGATCAGTTAAGTGAAGAGTCAGATGAAATGATGTATAATTTTTTGAAAGATCCCTTCTGTCCACATTGACTTGCTTACTTACGTACCCTTATGACGCTCTATCGAGCATAAGCCATCCACCAGCATTCTCCATCCAACTTCCGTTCTCATCTTTCCTTTCCAATTGTTCCAAGTTGTTATTCATTCGTTTCATATCTATGAGCAAAATGTATCGATCGATATTACTTGAGTAACTAATCTTCACCAAGTCCATCTATTTGTTTATCCTCTACAAATGAGAAGCATAATTACCACAACATTTCTCCATCAACGAAGTTGAATGCTGTCTCAAGGTCAAGAAATGTAGCTAAGTTTGAGTGTCCATTGGAATGTGTGTATGTTTCAGAACCTGTTTAGTGGTGGTACACATTCTATCACTCTATATCTTAGTTTTCAAATCTGAAACCAGATTGATTTTCTGTGAGTTAGTTATTTACTTGCTTTAGTCAAGTAATAAATGATTATACAAATTAGTATATATATATATATATATATATATATATATATATATATATATGACTAATTCCTTCTGTCGTTTCTTATAAACTGATTAAATCTTTCCTCGCAAACAACTGTTCGATTCATTCCAAATGAAAACCAGTATCAGATAAGGTCGCTCACTCTTCATCCCTTGTGTTTCTTCTTCTGACGGTTGTCTCAATATATCAGGGCAAGAAAGGGACACAAACGACAGATAGGATACAGATGAAGGATTTTGACTTTGTAGGTGATCTAGGTCTGCTATCTCACACCTGTTAATGAATACAGGTGAGGACGACTAGTCTTATCCATAGCCTTTGCAGCAGTAGGTCTTCAACTTGCACGGAAAGAAAAGGCGAAATTCTCTGATACAGCACACATTTGATTGACGAAGCTTTGGAAGATGTGGAATTGTTTACCTATATAGGCAAAATCATTGACAAGTAAGATGGATATGATTCAGACATAAAGGCGAGAATTGTCAAAGCAAGGACAGCCTTTCTGCAAGTGAACAGCATGTTGAACTCAAAACAACTGTGTGCCAACCAACATCAAATTTACAATTTTCATTATATATGTCAAAATAGTTCTACTGTATAGAGCCGAAACTTGAAACAACCAAACTCATCATTCAAAAAGATACAGATGTATATTAACATTTGTCTACACAAGATACTAAGAATCCGTTGACCAGACACTAGCAATAAACTACTGTGTGACAGAACAAATGAGCTTCCAACTGAGAAAGATGCTAGGAAAAAAACGCTGGAAGTGGTGGATAGAACACCCATCGTGGAAATCGCCTATTTACGTTACTCTAACTTGAAAACTTTCAATGCCAGTGTAAAAGTGGTAGACCAAATTACACGGTGTGCTTGTAGTGAAGGAGAACACAGGTGAAGGCAACCGAATTGTATTTAACGAAAATTACAGAGTTACTCAGTAAACTAAGAAAACTATATCGTAAACGGTTAATTTGCAAATCTTCAATCCATTATCAATCCATTGTCTGACATTTCACTATTCATGCGTTTCATACACAAATCCCACTGTGTTCCCGCTCTTCCTATCTTGATCTTCCACCATCTTCTGCTGCCCAACATTACGTTTACACTCACGTCATATACTACTTATAAGTAGCGCGCACCACATGCTGAGTATTGTGATGACAGACATAAACAGAATGAATTTCTCTCTCTGGTAGAACTGAAAACAAAGACCGAGGACAGAGTTTGTTGTAGAATGTTTGGTAAATGGCCTCAGCTTCAGTAGGGATACTAAATGTGAAGAACTAACTAGGTGGTAAGTAATTGATCAAATCCAGTCAACGGAAGAGATCACATGTAGCTTTTTTATCTGTGTGTAATAACTTTGTGAAAGTTTCTTATTCTTGAGTAAACATTTACATACATACATTCATTATTTACTTTAACATGAATACACTGTCGATCAATAACATGGTGTTTATATATTATTGTACCTCATAGAATTGACAACTTCATATTTGCTATATCACTTAGCAACAACATTATTTATTTCATTGTTAATGATATCGTTTTATTCAGTGTTTGTTTTCTTAAGAAACATCATTCTTCTGTTGTTATTTTTAGTGTCTTTGTTTTTTTCAATCATATCCTACTTATAATCAGCGCTAAAAATCAAAGTGTGTGATGTGACAATTATATATTTAGCTCATATATATATATTCCTAACCAATATATCTTTGTAATTAATTGTCGTATTGTAATGCAATGACCAAGTAGATGTACTATCTTTGATCTCATATGTGAACACTGTGAACCTGTCGATGATTGGACTTGTTTTCAAATGCTACATTCGCATGGTGCTTGTCTTTGATTATAGGTGTGTATCCGAAGCTTTGCTCGTGTATCCTGGGACCAACGAGTAAGCAATGCTGTCGTTAGGAAACGAATACTAGGTAGGGATCGCAGATCGATCGATAAAGTAGTGAAACTCCAACCACCGGCTGCCTCGGCTGTGGTGCGCGCTACTTATATGACGCGAGTGAAAACGTAATGTCTGGCAGCAGAAGATGGAGGAAGATCAAGAAAGAGAGGAAGAGTGGGAACACAATGGAATTTGTATGAAACGCATGAATAAGTGAAATGTCAGACAATGGATTGATGATGGATTGAAGATTTGCAAATTAACCGTTTACGATATGGTTTTCCTACTTTACTGAGTAACTCTGTAATTTGAGATAAATACAGTTCGGTCGCCCTCACCTGTGTTCTCCTTCACTACACGGCGAGCTATTTTTGGTGGTGTAGGAGTAGGTTGGAAGAAACCTAGGGGTGGCCAAACCAAAACATGGCAGAAATCCATGAAATTACTACCAGGTGGAATGAGTCATGTTGGTAGATGTAGGCTATCTGGTTGTGGCCCGCGAGACGTAAGTCACTAATATTTAGAGACCTTGAATGACATGGCTCAAGATCGCTCGCAATGGCGCAGGTACATTTACTGTTTGCTTTCTATGAAATTCCAGTTTTCTGAATTCGTCATCATTTCTATCTTTCTCCTTCTTAAGTTATCTTACTGAATTATACTTTTTGAATAAGATCTTAGAACCCTAACCTCTCCGAATACTACCAATACTTCTACTATCGCTGCCACTATTGTATTTAAACTGACAGTTGCGTCTCTGTGCTAATGGGATATGCAACATGAACTGATGTACTTATGTGCGAAGTTCTACGTTGTAACTGATCGACTGCTTGATTTCAACGGTGTTAACATGCTTATTACTGTTGACTAGCTTAGTGCAGAAATTCTGGAAGTCTAAGTGAGAAGCGGTAATCAGTAGGGTGCAGCTGGGTCGGGTGTGAAGCCATTACTCACTAAATACAGTGGTTGGGGTCCGCGCATTCAAACCGTTGAATGCCGGTTCAGTGTTACAGTAGTTAAACGTTCACGCCTTAACACTGAAGTTACTGTGTTCGATTCCTGCTACTTGTGGGAATCGGGAATACGTACTTCTGATAGGCCCCCATACACTGACAAATTAGTTGTCCAGTGCTTTCAGGTTTCAAACAGTAGTCTCTAATATTATTGACCAGTTCATAATTAGCATGAAACTCAAACATCTCCATAATTTTGTCAATCAGTCAGTCAATTACAACGTAGAACTTTGTACATACCTACATTAGTTCAAGTTGCCATATCACATTAGCACAGAGAAGCAATCGTTAGTTCAAATCCCATATTGGTAGAAATAGTAAAAGTATTAGCTGTAATGGAGAAGATTAGGAAGCGAAGATATGATTCGAGAAGCATAATTCAGTGAGTTGAATTTAGAAAGAGAAAGAGATGATCAGAAGGTTAGAATTTGAGAGAACACAACAAGTTGGTGCCTGTGCGCCATCGGAAACGATTTTCAGTCATGTTGTTTCAAGGTAGGTGTCTAATATTCGGTTAGTATCATCTCTTGGACTCCAACTAACATGACTTCCATAAATCTATGCTTCATCATTGTTTCACATGTTTTCATCTTTTTTTCTTATTGTTCTTATGCCTAAATGATCATTTATTACACATTTAGACGAGTATTCAATTACAATGAATTCAGAATTGGAAACCAATGTATTTGGTAGGTGTGTGTGTGTCTGTGTGTGTGTGCGTGTCGACTAGTTTTGATGTACAGTTTGAATTCTACAAACAAGAAAAACAAATCATATAAGTAGACTTGAGCTAAGCTTACTTTGTTTGTTCAATGTGTTCACACACACGCACTCTTTTAATTAACCTGTAAATAATAATATATGTTTGTTTACACAAATGTTTCATGTCTCTAATTATATGTATTTTTGATTGTGTTTGTGTGTATGTGTGTTTGTGTGTTAGTGTATATCAGTGTATCGATCTGTTTACGGTAAACATTAAAAATTGCACCATATTCCTATAAGGTGTGTCTGAAGTACAATTTGTCTACTACTTACTACTAATTGTGTTCATGTCCTGTTTGTTTTTTCTTTTAAAACCAAATTCTGTGCAACATCCACACACACATGCACCGACGCACATTTACACACATACAGGGAATCGCTGTACACACTATACACTACCTTCACTTCCTGTTCTGTTCGGTTCTGGTTTTTGTTTTTTTTCGGTTGCTTTCAATAAGACGAAAGTGTGATTTGTAACATTAGTAGTTATTGCGCACATACACTCACACACAGACGTACACACACATTGTCTAATCCTCATGTTTTCTATTGCATAAGATGATTGTGTGTGTCTCTGTGTGTGTGTAAATGTTTCTTGATGATACAGACTATAGTTTACGCGATTCAACATGTTTAGAAATGAATTTTATGCTTTATGTTAGTAGCGTGTGTATGTATGTGTGGGTGTGAGTTATCGGCATTGTTTACCAACGTTTACGATTTGTGTAACTTGATCATCAACAATGTAAGATTTATCATAAAATGTGTATTACGTCGAAATTGCTACAACGTAGAACTTCGTACGTACGTACGTACGTACATCAGTTCTTGTGTTGCCATTACCACCAAAGCACATAGACGTAACTGTTAGTTGAAATACCATACAGGTGGAGATAGTAGAAGTATTAGCGGTAATGGGGTTCGAAGAGATCGTGCAAGAAGTATATTATTATCTGACGATCTCAAGCGCCGGATAAAGGTGTAGGGTAAGGATTGGGGTTGGTGACCCCATCCCGTAGAAAACCAACTTGTTCAAAAAAACGCTAACCAGAAAAAAGGATTCAAACTATTTAAACTTTACCTTGGGGAGCTAGAAAGTCTTCATTTAGAGAAGAGTAATGACGTCTTCAGATGAAAGCCGAGTTCCTTCGGAAGTTGCGAGTTCGATGCCCTTCCACGAATTAGAATAGCATTAGTTTATGAAGTAATTGACTATTGACAACTAAACTGTAATGCTACGTATAAATGACTTTGTTCATGTAATCAAGAAGATCGTAATCCATGGTTAGAAATGTATTGAACATGTAGGGGACGTTAGATCCACAGTAGGCACTTGATTAAGGTCCTAAATTTGGATTTCGTGGTTTCGTACATGGTCTGATCAGTTGATCTTCAGATTACATTTCCTACCTAGAAAATTCTTGACGCTATATTTGTGGCTCTCTCAAGGACGTTTTTATCATGCATAAATTAAATCGATTTGTGTTCTTGTGAACCTCGATTTTCTGCGTGCTAGTAGAGTACACTTTCTTCGTCATATCAAGACTTTTTCCTGTAGTAAGCAGGGGTAGGGACATTCAAATTAGAATAGCCTATCGTGTCACTGGATCATATTGTCTTCGCTCTCATTTACCGAGTAAGGTGAATTCGTAATAGTTTCGAGCATACAATTGACGAGCCTAACAGAACAATATAATCCCTACGTTATACTAGAGAAGCATTCACTCTTTGGTTTCCTCGTACAGCATATCTGAAATATTCATCTTGGATTGATCGCCATTGGTGATGATGGTCTTGTGTAATTTTTCTGCACTCAAAACTCATTTTCAAATGTGTAACTTAACAATCTTCACCACCCCGTAACGCAATTACCTGTGCTCACTAGGGACTCACTGCGTGAGGAATCTTTTCCGTTTTGTAGTAGGAAGTCGTGACCAGTTGAAGTTCATGTTGCCATACCACATTAGCACAAAGACGCAGATGTCAAATCAAATCCTATAGTGATAAAGATAGTAGAGGTATTAATGATAATGAACAAGACTAGGGTTCGAAGATATTATTCAAGAGGTATAATTCAGTGAGAAAAGTTTAGAAAGGGAAAACTATAGTGGTTGAAGAATCCAGAAGATCAGGATTTAAGAGAACACAAAGAATAAATGCACCGGCGCCATTGCGGACGATTTTGAGCCATGTCGTTGTTCAAGGTCTCCAACCATTGGTGACTTTCGTCTCGCGGACCCTAACCAGATAGCCTACACGTACCAAAATGACTCAGTCCACTTGTCAGTGACTTCATGGATTTCTGCCATGTTTTGGTCTGTCCGCCCCTAGCTTTCTTCCAACCTACTCCTACACCACAAAACATAGCTCGTCGAAGCAGTCGATGTTTAGCCATACGTAACGCATGTCTCAACCACCTCAACTGATGAAGTTTCACTACTTCATCTATTGATCTACCATCATTAATTACCTGGTACTTGTTTGTGGTGTAGATTTCAGTGACAACAGGTTTCGAGTCTTTTTGTATTGTTTCTCCCTCAACCATTTATCATGGAAAACAGATTAACTGAGATAATTCAATTTCACAATGATGGATCAGTGCAAACCATGTATGTATGTGTCTGTTGTAGCGCTTATCGATTTAGACTTGTGCTTGTTCGAGTGACTGTTTGTTTCTGTGTTTGTTAAGGACACATGATGGTCGATTGTAATTTCTAATATATCCACATGGAGAGAGTCGGTTGATATTGTGTTTTAAGGGTTGTTACGTGTTCGAATAGAGCACATCGCATTTTGATCAATCTATTTACCCATAGAGCAGTTCATCTCATCTTTACATTAAGTACAATCTTTTACATATTTTAATTTTATTCAATTCTATTTTTTTTTAAAAAGAAAAACCTTGATTCATATAAAAAAATTTCTACATTGATGACGTCAAAAAATACAAAACAAATCAAGTTTTTTGACAATTGTTTTCTTTTTTTTCGGGCTAACAACCAATTTTCATTGGATCGATGTATATTCTTGTTATTTCTCGCTCGCTCTGTTGAATATCGATGGATGGTCATATTTTTTTTTTAGAGAAGGCTTAAAAATTAGCTCATAAGAGAATTGACAAAGTTGTTCTTCGAAAAAAATAATGATTTATGATCGATCAATGTGAATTAGCATTTGTACACACCAAAAATGATTTACATATTTTTCACTGTAAAATGAACTTAATTTATAAATGTGTCATCTATATATCATGCATTGGCTTTAATTTTTTATTGAAATTCTAAACTGATCGAATATTCGACTGATGTCGGAAACATATCTGTCTTGTCGTTATTACTAGTCTCATAAGCAGTGCGCACTTACCATGTCGTGAACGGAAATGGAACCGGCAACCTTCGATCATACCTTTTAGGATATTCTGACTATCGATATCACTTCAAGTATTGTTCCCTAACTGTCGATGTCAAATACTTCCTATTCGACCTAACTGTATAAATACGCACTATTTGTAAAGTTTTATGACTAGGATACTTAGTCCGGCGGCCTTATCCTCTTCTGGACTCGGACCGCATACTTTCTGGATGCTTGTAGAACATACGTTCAACTTTATGTCAAGCCTTCTTCTTTTACTCAATGG